AGCCTTTGAGATCAGTACCGGCAGAGCGTCTTACAACATCGCAACCGCAGCTAAACCCGAGGCCACGTGTTAATCATCAGAGCCAGCATCTACTGTACATTCTAGCGCGCTGCTCGGCCGACGCGCGTCGTCTTTGTTGTCATCGCCAGGTAGCACCGCAGCATGTGTGGTCAGCTAATTAGCTTTATTAGGGGTGAAGCTCCTAAAGCCGTTGGTCTGCCACTCCTAGCTCGTGGTACGTGACCGCCTAGTTCGGTGACTCACTTCGCAGGTGTGGATGGACATACAAACGGACGGACGGACGGACGGACAGACGGACAGACAGACAGACAGACAGACGATTCACCGTTTATACCGATAAACCCTCTGTAGCATCGCTTCACTCATCATAATTCCCTTCATGTATTTGCTGTGATTTTTCGGCTGGATGGTATAATTAAATGGTTATGCCAGGACATGCTATGACCAAACTAATTGTTCCAAGTCATGCTAAGGCTAAAGTAATTGCGCCACATCGTAAGATCATGCTATTGAAGTTATGTAAAGCTACAACCAGGCTAACTAAAGTATGCTAGTTGATGAGCTAACTTAGCTATGCTAGTTAACGCAACGTTGATCATGAGGACGTTGAGTGAAACTATGTTATTTGCCCTTACTAACATAATGACCATTAGTAACCTGCTAATCAGGATTGCGTTGAATACTTCGATACTTATCGGGTCCTCGGTAATTACACCCGAGAAAATTGCATTTAAATTAAAGCCTTATCAATGAAGAAAAGACAGCTTATTATACTTGTAGTTAAGCCTCGGCCATTTGGCATAATCAAAACTAAAACAGAACAGATGCGGTCTTCACTTCGAAGCCGATCACGCACATAGGTAGACAACCAACTTAGAAAGCTGCATAAAGCTCGGTTATCACAAACTCTTCTATGTCTTCAGCCTTGCACAAGTGGTGTAAGCTCAGCAAATTATTTTATATGCAATGAAGCTGCCGCTTAGCGTTCACCACGTCAAACGCTTGACAGTCATACCAGCACCATCACAGTCCCGAGTTAAACCCGGGCCTTCTCACAATCAACGCGTTTGTATCCGAGTTCGCGCGTCCATCAGTTTGATTGACAGACGTCCGTGGCGAAGATCGGGTACGCCTACCGCGTCTGCTCATGCCTAGGAACAGTACCCACGTCGAGCGGCACGATTAATCTATCATCTTTACCACGCAGACTATGCACACAAGCTCGCAGAAGTAAAAGTGATATCACCACGCGGCCACGATGTTTCACATTCAATTTCGCCACACTCACAGCATATTCAATCACAGCCGCGTTGCCGACAAGATGCGAGCACCCCTGCTGACCACCTGTCCTTATATTTATGGCAGCGCAACGAGCAGCATGAGAGTGCTTGCGTGCACCCTTGCTGCTGTCGAGAGTGGAAACTTCCATTCTGCATGGTGGAACGATAGAACCTGTGCGAAAAAGTAGATACGCCCATGAAATAGTCTGTGGGAGGCACGTGTTCAATCGAAAAAAGACAGCATGACAATCACGCTTACGTCGCTGCACTGCTGAAATGTTGAGCGAGTAGCTGCGCTGCCGTGCTCGCACGCGTTGTTTCTTTGATAACCGCCGCAAACGTTCCACGTGCGTTTCCAACGCTACGCGCGTTCATGCAACCATCTTTATCAACGCTGATATCACGCGCTGCGCACTGTATTCATGTCATGACAACCGCAAGTGGGCTCGGGGCAAACTCGGCCGCCCGAGAAGCTCGAGCCGTCCTGCATAGCGCCCAAGAGCTTTGGTTAGTTGTTGTCTTCACGTGTTAAAATGGCCACACTCGCACAGAAGATGGATGATTGTTTCTTCCCAGCTTCAGTTTTGCACACCGAGGTGTTGGCCATTCCGATAAGGATTATGCGCTCGTGAAAGCCGCGTCAAGCCACAGGAGGCACAGAAGAATTTCCTCGGCTTGAGATATTCACGAGAAAAGACGAAGCTTGAGATCGGGATCCAAATTATGCAAGTGAACGTTTCTGAATTCCGTCGAGTTCCACTGTACCAGTGTGAGGTCACGTGCAAGTGAATGAAGCCTTGTAGCTGTGTTGGTTCTTGAGAATGGGATGGTTGTGTATTGCGTACCGCCATGTACAGATCTAGCGGCCTCATCCGCGCGGTCTTTATCATATATACCGCAATGATTTGGTATCCACATATACGCAATGCTGTGTTGTCTCTCGATTGCTTGGTGGTGAAGAAACTTTATGTCGGCTACTAACTGTTCATTAGGTCAATGGCAAAAGGGTGACATAAGACATCGAAAAGCTACCCTCGAGTCCAAGATGTACCAAGCTTATGAAGGTTCTTCAACAATAAACTCCGCAGCTTCCCGTACAGCGGCAAGTTCTGCAGTAGTTAATGATGTTAAAAGCTACGTCTTGAATTTAATTATGATGGATTTCGAAGTAATAACCACCACCCCTGCAGATTTTACCGAAGAAACACTGCTATCCTTGTAAATGTGTTGGCGTGAGTTGTGCTTCTCGTGCAGGAACAGTAGTGTGGCGTAGTTCAGGGCTAGACGCGACGACTGTTTCTTCTCTTAGATGATTTGAACTTCTAGGTCTGACTCAGCGTTCAGCGCATCTGCAGCTCAGCATTGCGCAGTGCTTCCATTTCACTTCACGTATGCAGCACGAGCCGTTACTATTGTGATGCCTACACCCACGCAAAGTTCCTCGTGAAGTCCTAGTGTTCCCACTCCGCTAACGGGCGATCAATCAGACTAGCATAGCTGAATAAGGGAGTGGTTGTCCGCTTGTCGTCTACGTCTAAACCTACTCTAGGGCGTTCTCTGAGCACCCGCTTGACGGCGTAGTAGTTTACGGGCATTATAAATGATGTGCGTCCATGTGCTTAGTGTTGTCAGTGAACTAGCCCTTGCGGGCGAGTTGCTAACTTCTTCGTTATTAAAATGATTGACCGTACCAAAAAAGACATTGGTCCAGGATTTTGACCCCATACCTGGAATAAATTTTCGGTAACTCAAATGATTTTATTCTGAGAAATTCGTATGGGTTTCCTTGTGGCTTCGTCGTACACGTGGGTGGCTGTCAGTTGTCTTTCTTGAATCTTCCACGACCATGCGTGGTTCCGCAGAACTGATTTATTACGCAAGGCTATATTACGTTCTACCGCACTTGGATTACCAAGTGGTTCCTAATCTTGCCTTCGTATCATGGGTACGCGGGTTCGAATGCCGCACTATGAAGGGTTTTTTCGCTAAAAATACATTTCTCCTGCTGCCTTTCTTTTTGCTCCCTCTGTATTAGTTCTCTCAATTATCTGAGTTTTTGAAATTGTGCACCAGACAAATTGGTGTGAGTTTCCTGCAAGCGAAGCACTACATGAAGAATAGGGCTAGCTGTGAGCGAGCTGCATTGTAACAATGATACCTTTTGTTCAGGCATTGCGGACTGATCCTCTACTTAAACGAGTGGGCTCTCAACGTCTTGCGCTGGACTCGTTCATAATGTATTTAAATCTAAGAGTACCACCACAATATGCCCCACCGCGGTGGTCTAGTGGCTAAGGTACTCGGCTGCTGACCCGCAGGTCGTGGGATCAAATCCTGACTGCGGCGGCTGCATTTCCGATGGAGGCGGAAATGTTGTAGGCCCGTGTGCTCACATTTAGTGCACGCTAAAAAGAACCCCAGGTGGTCGAAATTTCCAGAGACCACCACTAAGGTGTCTCTCATAATCATATGGTGTTTTTCGGACGTTAAACCCCACGTATCAATCAACCACCACAAGTTTCATAGATACGAGAGAGGGGACACTTAAAAATACGTAGTGATCCCGTTCATCATGTTAATTTCTGTGTTTTTAGAGGTTTGCAATGCAAAATACACAAACAAACAAGGCCGGATGATTTTGATACCATCTTTCAGCTGAAGGTTTATCGAGTAGGAAAGCGATCCTTCGTCCCATCTACATTTCTTCCAATAATTTTGCTCTGGTAAGCATTGACACGACTCAAGTCGGCCAATTTTTCATCTTTATGCATTTGTGTTTTATCAAAACGCCTGTATGCTTGACGCTTTACGCTAAACTTCACATGTTCAAATGTGGAGTTTAGCCTAAGTAAGCCATACGCCAAAGTAAGCCAAACAGGGTATATGGTCATAATATTTACGTACCTGACACCTATAAAATGTTTTAACCATGCATGCCATTGTGTCAAAAGCGAAAAATTTCCTTAGCTTTCTTGGCCGTTGTAAAAATTCTTTATGCAATATTTTATTTTCTAACTGCCAGGAAAAAAACTGCTAGCGCTAGTCTTTGAGTACAAGGGTACTTCAAAATGCTTAAACCTATGGGGCCCTACTTTAGGAGAAGGTTATTTCTGAGCTATTTTGAAGTACTATAATTAACAGTTGGGCTAGTTGGTAATGTACCAATTTGGGGTACAGCGCGAGACTAATGAAGATGAACGATCATAAAAGGGACACAGATGAGGGCTGAAAAGCATTTTAAAGCTTCATAGTAGGCTCTCTGGTAGAAGCGAAATTCGCTTTCATTGATAAATGGCCCTGCGAATGTTTTTCGCGATCCACATAGCTTCAAAAATAGAGTGTGAGGAAGACCTGGGGAGCTTTGTGGCGTCATTTCATGCAGGGCAGATGATAATGAGAGAAAAACATTGGAAACATCTCGTACCCCGCTGACTACGCCCCTTACACTCTTGGTCATGACATTTGCCACGAGAAGTTTGAAAAGAAATGCATCATATTATGACACCATGCATCACATATACCGGTCTGCCCTTAGTGTGCAATAATGACGCCCTTTTGCCAATAAAATATTTACGGCTGCCTTGCGGCACCCTTTCAGCAGAATTTCCACCTATTTGTTTGTATTTGCACCATAAATGAAGCTTAACACGCTCCGTGCTTCTAATAATTCTGCATCATCTAGTTTATTCGTTTTCTTACCTTCAGCGATGACGAACAAAACCAGAACCCACCGTGTGACATCCATGGCTACAGTGATCAGATAACAGTGGCTTTATATAGATGTGCAGAATGCGGAGTTGACTTGCTTACAAATATAAACAGACGCTCCACACTTGTCACAAAAAACAATGTGTCTTTCCCCGACAACATGTGTTTCCTCGCTAAACAAGCGTTCTGATGTCGGAAAGGTGCACAAAGACAAGCGGCAGTTGGTGCAGTTGTTGCGTATGCTTGGCGTGCACGACAAAAAAAGTGACATCTCTATCCGGGAAAATGCTTCAAGTCCGAAAACAGTTTAGACCTATTTCTTTGCTTTCCGTATCCCCAGAAGTACAAACTTTTCCACAGAGTTGGAAGGCTGTGCACACTAGATAGGAACGATGATTTTCTTTTTTTTCTTTAGCACTGTTACGTTAAAAAACTAAAGCACTAGTGTTTGCTACACACATTTTCCCTTCGGTCAGCGCGCTTGTCTGTAATAAAGTTCTCCTGAACTGACAGTGCATATCCTGTTCACACTACAGTGGCTTCCGCTAGCGAAGCTTTCTGTTGCTAGCATGCTATTGTGAACGATGGGCTAGATGCGGGCTTCTTGGTCAGTTGTCCAGTCAGCGTCACACTCGGTGCGTGAATTGAATAGGATGATACTTGGGTGTGATGAAACGATTGGACCGAGGCAACTATAAACAATTTTTCTACATGGCGTGCTTGTGTCTGTTTCTAATTTTCTCAAAAAAAACGTTGAATCGCAAGAGTGTCATTACGTGCTGGGGATTCATGCGATTTAGTGCAAAAAGTCATGGTTTCTCCTGCAAGAATCTGCGACTCATCAACAGTCACCAGAAGAAAAGCGCGACGAGAAACTGTGCCTATAACTTTTGTGTGATGTTCCTCATTAGAAAGAGATGAATGAGTTGCGAGGTGTCTTTGAATCGTCCACAAATTGTAAGTTTGGTGAAGACAACATGCGTACGCGCCCTTGAGTACACTCTAACAAGCCCATAACGCTAGTGGTCTTATGTTCGTCATGTAGTTAAACTGGTGTCTCTTTTTTGAAGTTCATATAGTTAGACGAGCTTCTTTATAGAAATGAGAATAAAGCTTCCTAGTGCGTGGGTACTATTTTTATATGCGTTCATTCACACAGTACTTTTATACAGGCCTTAACAAGTCATACTATTTCTTTCACTCATGCACAAAGCCCTCTTCAGTTATTTCTTTAAAAAAATATCTCGTGAGAGCTAATTTTATTTGAAGCCTATGAATCGCGTAACAATATCAACCAACGCTACTCTATGGTGTGTTTTGCAGTTTCTTCCCTCACTTTGTATCTGTTCGTTCATCCTAGTTTTTGTACGGTTGCAGGTCTTGAGCACTACAAGGCGCTCCAAAATATGCCTCTTTGCTTATCTCCAGCTTTTCAAAAATAAAAATTTGCAGATCCCACGTACAGGCGGAATCGACGATATGCGAAACACGAATGAGAAAGGTTGATATGTCACTTTAAAATCAGCACAACGTTACAAGGTGGAGGTAAATGATGCTGTACATGACTTTCGTGTCAAGAATATCATGTTTGGTTGTGTCGTTTTACCTTTTTCATCTATTCACGCCACGTGATTGCAAATTCAGTATATGTGGAGCTAGCGCAACGACCGCGAGCACGCTATGAGCGTGGTATGTGGTCATGTTATTACATGAAACGCGTGTCAGGATTATCATCTTTGCACCAGTCATATACTTTTGTCCTCCATTGACGTCACGTAACACCCAATTTGGTACCTGTGAGTCATGAAAAACGGTCACGAGAGCATCGTGAAGGGCCCAATATACTACAAAGTAGCGTTGACGCGTTCGAACGCTAGGCACAGCGACGCCACGTTAGGAAAACGCGAGCACTCTATTTTCTTAAGCCGGGCGTGACCTGCGCAACCAGCGTCCGTCGGCACGGCTAGACGACAACCGGTGCTAAATAAGACATACTGCATTTCACAGCGATTCATTACCCAGACAGCTCTGTGTATCCCTCTTTTCGTGACGGAGGGACACCGGACGCGCTGAAACGCGCATGCGTCAAAGCAACACAACGCGGCGCGTGCCTGCGAGTGTATGGCAGGACAGGTGCCTGGCGTGGCAACGCCGGCGTGACGGAGCAACTCAGCCGTTAAACACAGTGGAACTGCAGAGGTCACAAGAATCACAAGAAGAGGGCTCATTTCCGCCTCTATCTTGAGACCTGTGAATTCCTCGTTGCCGTGGTTGCCCTTCAGGAACCCGGCACGGACGTCAAACTCACAAATTACACATTTCAACACAACCCAGAGACATGTATACTTTTTCACAAGCAATATACCGCCCAGGATGTCACACTCCCCACAACACCACCTTTTGCATACACGATAGTGTCGGTGCTGCCCATAAGGCGATCTGACCTACCAGTTCATATTTAAAACATTTACTTCAGCGAAACGTTCAGCGAAACTTTCACACAAGCTATGCAGGTGGCAGGAAGGGACCCCCTCCTGATCGTCGGTGACTTCAATGCCCCAAGCAGGTTATGGGGTTAACTGCGAGAGAACACGCGTGGAAGGAAGCTTGCGGAACTTCTTTCTACAATTGGACTCACCCTCCACACTGATCCCGCCAGCCCAACACGTGTAGGCCACTCTGTTCAACGAGATACTTGCCCGGACCTCACAATTATACGCAACATACGCCATTACGACTGGCTGAACACACAGGACACTCTCGGTAGTGATCATTGTGTATTAAACACAACCGTGTACATGCGTCCCTTGAAACGCCCACTTACACAAGCTCGTATCCCAAATTGGACAACTTTCCGCAGCTCTCTACCTATCGCAGACCCTCTCCAGTCGGGATACGACACTGGGTCTCAATCACTGACGTCTACACTGAAACAACACGAACGGCTGATACAGCTCACGGAAACTCAAACGGACGTGGACAACCACCTCCTCCATCTTTGGCAGGCCCGCCGCAGTCTCAGCAAACGATGGAAAAAACAGAAACATAACAGACGCCTCAAGCGACGCATCCTAGAACTCATGGAGCAAGCTGCGAAATAAGCTGCACAGCTGGCCAACACTAACTGGGTGGACAGGTGCAACACGGCTGCACGCCATATGTCTGGTCGCAACACGTGGCGCCTATTTCGCGCTCTCATCGATCCAACACAAACACGCACGGAAACTCAACGTCGCTTGCATAAGGTCATGCACAACTTTACAGGAACGACAACACAGCTGGCACACACGCTCAGGAACCGATACTTGTGCACCACCAAGGACCCCCGGACGGCCGCATACTCTTACGCAGACAAAAAGAACACGCAGTTGGACATCCCGTTGTAGCTCCACGACCTCCAGGCGGCCTTATTCAAAATGGAGCGTGGCACTGCACCCGGGCGTCACCAGGTTACGGTCAAACTGTTGGCCAATCTTCCCGACGCAGCCTACACCACGCTCCTCAAATACATCAATAGCATTTGGAACGGAGAGACTCCTCTCCCTCTTGAATGGAAATCAGCCCTCGTGACCTTCATCCCGAAGGTAGGTAAACCTATTGACGTGGAGAACATTCTCCCCATCTCTCTTACGTCTTGTGTCAGCAAGTTGATGGAAACGATGGTGCGCGACAGACTCTCCGAGTTTCTAGAAACACAGCATACTTTTGCGGACACCATGTTTCGTTTCCGCCCTCAGAAGTCAGCCCAGGATATACTTCTACAGCTCCACCATGACATATTACATCCTGTTGAATGCCCCCACAATTACAAGGTAGTCGTGGCCTTGGATCTTAAAGAGGCGTTCGACAACGTGAAGCATGAGGTAATCCTTGACCACCTCAGTCAGACCAACTGTGGTTATAAAACATTCAATTATGTTGGACAGTTTCTTACAGACCATGAAGCCTACATACGCATACAAGATGAGGAACATGGGCCATACGTCATCGGCTCGAGGGGAACTCCTCAAGGCGCGGTCCTCTCTCCCCTCCTATTTAATATAGCCATGCTTCATCTTCCCCCTAAATTGGCTTCTCTACCAGGGATACATCACCCTCTTTACGCGGATGATATCATGATCTGGGCCACGTAAGGTAACCTGGGTCACATGGAGTCGTGCCTGCAAGCAGAAGCGACTGTAGTCGACGACTACGCAACCTACTGCAGACTCCAGTGTGCCCCGGCTAAGTCAGAATTTGTGCACGTACGTCTCTCCCCTCAGTACACAACTTGATCAGCTCCATATCAGTCTTCCCTCGGGACCGATCCGTGAGGCCAAGTAGATCAGCGTCATTGGCCTCTTCATACACCACCAACGCAAGGCCGACACGACAATAGCCAAACTTCGCACGGTGGGAGAACAGGTGGGCCGGTTGGTCCAACGAGTCTCCAACAAGCGGGGCGGATTGCGAAGCAGGGATGCAATGCGGCTTGTCCATGCTTTCGTAACGAGTAGAATACTCTACTCGACTCCCTACTTACACCTACGCAAACACAAGGATGATCAACTTGAGGTCATTCACCGTAAAGTTGTCAAGCGGGCTCTCGACCTGCCTATCACCATGTCCATTCGGAGACTTCTGGTCCTAGGAGTGATGAATACCAACCGGGAACTTCGAGAAGCCCATCTCGTTAACCAATACACGCGCCTTGCACAGACCCCTTCCGGTCGCCGCCTTTCGGACCGAATACACATCAAACATTATTACTATATTGAGAAAAGGGTGAGTGGGCCCGAACCCTGGAGACACGCCCTCCGGGTCCGACCCCTTCCGCACAACATGTCCAAAGAAAACCACAGTGGTCGCCGCCAGGCGCGCGCGGAATCCTTGCAGCGACACATTGGTCAAGAAGAACACATGTGCTACGTGGACCTTACCAGCCCGCACCATGGGGGATGGTATACGGCTGCAGTCATACACAACACAAACACCGTAAACGGGCTCACTTTCAAAGCCTACAGCACAACACATGCGGAGGAGACTGCCATCGCTCTGGCTCTCACCTATACCTCTTCTAAAATATCATCACCGACTCACGAGGGGCCTGTCAGAACTATCAGCTAGGGTGGGCTTTACCGCTTGCTCATACTGGAACCTAGC